TTTTGCACACCAGTTTTAACATACCTTCAAAGCCAGCCTTTGTTGGTTATGTTTCCTCTGACTGCAGCCATACATTTGTTTTTCTAGTGTTTTTTATTGAGATCTGAAAGATCTTCAGAATTAATCACTTAGGAGTGCTGATGCCATAAAACTCAGGTTTAAGGTCGTGTTTTTTTCTATGTTGGGTGTTACTCATCTGTGAAATCCACAGCACTTATTACAGTGGTTTGGGATGCTAAACTTCAAGATGCTGAACACTTCAGACAGAGACTTTGAAAATACACCCAACATCCCTATAATGGAAAATGAATACCAAACATAAATTTTTAACCTTTATATACCAAAGATGTACAGTGCAGGTTAAGGTCTTCACTTCTGTTGTTTTGCAGTTGTACTTACATAAATTGTGTGTCTGTGTCATGTCCATTTTTAGAGCAAATTGACTTTTTAATGGCAGGTTTTAAAGGACGTTTTCATTCTGTCTTCCTGACACTTATTTCTGTGAGACCATTTATTTACATGTATTTATATCTGACTTGGAAGCCATAATCATGTGACATTGAAAGGTCTCATCAAGGATTTTGAATGTTTACCTCTAGGGGAGGTGGGGAAAAACCCTAAACTGTTTAGGTGACCGATTTGTAAAGTTGATATAGGCAAATTCAGCATAATTTACTTTGAATTTCCTACATTCTTGTGTTAGAAGTTTCCAATGGGAAAGCCATCATGGAGAATCTGGAAATAGGGGAAGAAAAACACCTTTGGACAGAGTTCTAAACAGGCTTGCTGTTTTAAGACACTGCCCTCTTGACTCACAGACACAAAAAAATTCATGATGTCGTCCATGTACTATATGATTTGATAATATATTTATCTCATGTTTCATACAAAGAGGTGGTTAATGTAGATGGTGGCAAGTTCTTTACAGCTGTTATTTTGTCTTTGTTTCATTCTGTCTAAATTTGGGCAGTGTAAATGTAATTCTTTTGAGATACCAGTTTCTTTCTTCTTAGACAGTTTTTGCTGTTTTTTAATGTATTGAGGAGGATATATTAGTTTGTGTCAGAAACTTGGATTTCCATTTTTTCCCTTCCACTTTTCCTCTTGTTGGAGTGTCTTCTGTAATAATAGGATCAGAAATACAGGGATTATTTTTACCTAGGATTTTCTTTAACATAAGTCTAAGTAACTGTAAAAGAAGTTACTTGTGATGAGGGGCTAAGCTTTTGTCATTGTGCTTGGCTCACTTGACATGTGTTTCATGCTATAACAGTATGCATTTTAAAAGCTTTACATAATGGGGGCTGTAGTTTTTTATATCAAATGGTGGGATGTGCCTCCTCATATACATTGAGGAATGATTGGGACATGCCTTGTGAAAATGAAGTTGGTAAATCCCAAGGCCAGTTTGAAAAAGCTTAATTTCATGTACATCATGGTATAATATATGTTCTTTAAGGAACAAATTTTGAGTTAATTACAAAATGTAGAGTCAGGCACAAAGTCTTGATAAACTAAGTAGTAGCTAGTTAGGCTGCAACTTTTATGAATTTGTTTTTACTCATTTCAAACTAATTTTGAAGAAAAGTACAATGTTAAGGTGATTTATAGGCACTTTTTCCAAGGCTCTGTGTAATGGCTGTATTCAGTATTCTTTATCCATGTAAAATCTGTAACAGCACATGTAAAGTATACACAGCAGCTAAGTTTTATATCTGGACACTGCAGAGAAGGGACCACAAATGGTAATTTGGGGTGAGTGGAGCATGAGTTTTCACATATTTTTGTTTCATGTGTGCTTTATATTTTTACTCATTTTATTATGACTTTTACTTATATGCAATTGTTTCAAGAAATAGCAAAGCAAATATGGGAATTAAAGCAGTCAGACTGTTTGCATTAGAGTTATATTTGTTAGTCTTGGGCTGAATTGCTATTTGTTTTGTGGTGCCATTCAGATTTTCCCAGTTCCTTTGCTCATGCTTCAGCTAAGCATGGTGATATGAGAGCTCTGTTTCAAGAAACTTCAGAAAACATTATTTGGAGTCTTTTTATTTCTAACTTTATTAATAAAATTTTATACAATGTCAGGAGAGAGGAATAAGATGATTGAGTACAGAACTTGATAATTAAGCCTAGGAGAGACTTTGTAAATAGTATTCACATAAAATTAAGTAAAGTATTAAACAAGCATAGCAACTAAGAATTGAAATTGCCAGGGATCACTTGATTTATCTGTAAGGACACTTAGTTATGCTTCTACAAACCAGAGAAGGATTCAACTTTACAGCTCTGGTGTTGTAATAATTGTTTTCCTTGACTCTGCTTTCTCTGTGCAAAGCCCATGATACTCAAAAATTACGGCAACAAATGAGACAACTTCAGGTTTTTACTGTAGGGGTAAGGTTGATCTATAGCCATGGCTAGATATATTTGAAAAATATTTCTGAAGACCACCTATACTGTAAAGAAAGCAACAAATAAATTTTCTGATTACTTGATTAAAATAATTGCTCCCCCACTTTTTTGATATTTTTCTGATATTTGCATGGTTACATTTCATTACTTTTATTGTTGGATAAATGTATCTTGGATTGGACTCTGTAATCTTAAAGGTCTCCTCCAAACTAGTGATTCTGGCATATCCTTTTCTTTTGAGCATGGGAGTTTTCTTATATGTTTGCATAATAGAACTGAAAACAAAGTTTTAAAATGAATGAACCCAAATATTTAAGTTGTGTGCCTTAAAACAGAGCAGACTCTAAAGTTTAACACCATTCAACTGTGTAGACCTAAGCTTGAACTGTAAATTTCCTCCACTTGTTTATGGCTCTACATTATTAATATCATGATATGACAAATAAATTTATTTGTATTTATTATCTATTAAGATTGTGTCTGTGAAACTTGTACAACTTCCTGTAAGTCTGTCAATTCCTGAAAAGTGTAACCCTTAAATTTGGCTTTGTAGGTGTTTTGAATAAATGCAAATCTAGCACTTGAACAAAATGGCTTCTGAATAAATGGTAAATTAAATGCACTTGTGCCTCACAAATGGGGGGAAATAAGGTCAATTTAAATGACTACAGAACAACAGAAGTTCTTATACTTTGTCGGAAGGATGGGATACAGAGATTAGTTGGGCAGTATAACTGTGGAGGTATAAGCTGAAAAGGTGAAATAACTGGTTGGTCATTTAAATGGCTTTCTAGTATCTTTTCCTAACTTTTTCATTGCTTAATGGTTTTAATTAAAGACAGTACGTGTCTGGATTAATATATCACAATAAAGACATTTACTTTTCCCCCCTCCAGTATAATTTCTGGATTAAACCAGTACTACAGCTAATTAATGTTCTGAATGTAGATTAATTACTTCACATTTCTTAAATGTGCCCACCCTTCATAAGCCTGTCTAGTATGAATTATGCTAAAATATTAGAAAAAAAGGAATGCCAAGATGAGTAGGTTATTATATGCAGTAATCATCTTATTTCTGTGATGGGTAAATTGGGACAAAATAATAAAAGAGGAAATAGCACCATCAGAAGTGTGATATTAGAGAGAGGAGATAAGTTTTAATATTTTAAGAGTAATTTGCAAATTGTCAATGCTATCAGCAAGGAGGATCTTCACAGTATTGATATAATTTGCAGAAATACTCTTTGGGTCAGCTTTGCTAGTGCAGCTAACAGAATAAATTTTCCATGCAACTTTACAGTGTTTGCTATAACTCTCTCCACTTTTTCTGGTGAGGTTTTTTGGTATCAATTACTCCATCTTATAAAACCTATTTTGAATTGTTGGAGTTCTACTACTGTTTACTGAAGCACAGCAGTCGTACTTCCTCGCCTTATTCTATTAACATTCATTAATCATCTGCATATACATATTTTCTTCTCTGTTGGTCTAGATGACCTTTTAAAGGCCCCTTTCAACTAAACATGATTCTGTGATCCTGCCCTCTTCCATGATTGGGTCAAGGATACAGATAATCTATCAAAACCATGAAAGATACTTGCCAGAAGCGAAAAGGCTGTTCTGTGATAATTTCTTCTTCCAGACTACCTGTTTGGAATTGAGAGCAAAGACAAGTCACATTTTTAACAAAACAAGAGAAAGGAGTGGAAAAAACCTCAACCCTTTCCCTTTTCATTTGAGGTTTCTTACAATTTCATAGTTCTTCTGAAAAAAAAACAAAACCCTGTAAGACCAACAATCAAACTAAAACGTCTCAGTCATCACTTCCTTAAAAAAAGCAGAATTAAGAATTCTGTGCTTTCACTTGCTTGTACATTTCTAGGTTTTAAATTTGCAAACCATCTGTGTTGCTGTTTTAGTGGCAGCCAAGATACCAAGCAAAACCAGAGTGGTGCTGTTCCTTCTGTGCTGAGGAGAGGGGAGGTGGGGTGGGAGGATGTGAGAGAGGCGGAACTTTCTCTTCGCCTTGACCCAAAAACTGTCGTGTGCTTTTTGTGTTATCTGTGGTTCCGGGCTATGTGACATTGTTAAGGACTCACAGAGCATGGAAAAAAAAAAAAAAAGATGGAATTAAGATATTAAACTTGCCTTACTAGATTGTTTGTTTGCCAAGTTAAAGAAATCACAATTCTCATCCTAATGACATTATTCTGCATGTCTATTTAAATTTATAAGAACATGGAAAGGAAATAGCAATGACAGGGGTAATTAGCAAACCTAACAGAAATCCATTGGGGAACACTTCTTCTCCCATCACTTATGTAGAGCTTATATATATTCTCACCTTTCAGCTCTTGCTGGTGAACATCACTCCTGTCTGACACGTCTGGTTTACTGTCCCTTTGCAAATCATCCCTGCGAGCAGGGCCGTTCTTCCTTCTCTTGACTTGCATTGTGTGTTTGTGTGTTCTTTAAATTAAATTTCTGTGTAGTCTACTATTTCATTCTGTGCTGTGGCTTGCATAGAAGGCATTCTATGAGTTATAAGTGACTGCCTGCATATGTTGTGTTATTTTATAGGTGGTGATTCGTGCTCAAAACGGCGCCCTCCTCTATCGTATTTCACCCTGGGCAAGATATGTGGTCCGTGATGAAGACAAAGTGAATTACGATTGGGTTCACTGGAATCCACCACAGTCATATATAGTAAGGCTTCAATTTTATTTTCAAGAGGTGTATCATGTTATCTTTGTATCCCTGTTTGGAGGAAAATAAAAGGAGAGAGCAAACTAGTTAAAACAGCTGAGAGATGAAGGGCTTTTGTTCATGGCTTTGACAGAAATAAATGACTTTAATGATGGATACTTTTTAGCTGCTTTTTCAGCCTCCTGTAGTATATATAATATATATTAATGTGGTATTTTAGACTTGGTTTACCACCTGTTAGGCAAGATTGACAGATATTCTGGGACAAGATGGCTGTTTCTGGTAGGGAGGAGGGTAGGGAATTACCAGTACTGGATTTAGTTATCTGCAAATGCAATATTCAGTACTCAACACTAGGATAATATGCCATGAAGCCAGAAAAAAAACTTCCAAAATGAGGTACCCATGCTCCAGTCAAATCCTGGTTTCTTTGTATCAGGAAAATTCTGTTACTGAATTTAAAGCCCTCTTTCTTGTCATGCACTGCTGTAAGGGAGAGAGCTCTTTGCATGATGTATGAAAAATACCCTAGGAGAACATTTGGAAACTTCAGACTGTGTGAGTGATGTTGTTTCATATTAAAGCTTTTCATGTTTTCCCTGAAAAATGGTATGCAGTGGTTTATATTAGAGATGCTGTAGCCTCTATTTTGAGTTAAATTTTCTCATCCACCTCAACTTATGAATAGCAACTGCTTGAGAGAGAAAAGGTTACTGGCATGAAAAAGATTTTCCTTAAAAATAGATAACATAATGTACACTAACTTTTATTAAATTGTGTAGTCTTTATCAACTTAGTGGCCTGCTCTGTGTATGATGCTGTGTGACATATCAATGTCATCAAGAAAAGGAATGGGAAGGTATTTGGAAATTTAGTGATTGGGATGACCTAGAGTGAAAAAGAGGCCAGAACTTTTGGGTGCAGACAAAGACTTACTGAAAAAACCAAACAAATCTTTTATGAATAGTTGAGGTGTCTAATGGAAATAAACCTCAGGTAACAGGCCTCAAACAGAAGTTTTGTTCTTCAAATTGTTCCTTTAATTTCTGTTGACATGTGTGTGTTCAACTAGTTTTGTTCTACCTTCTCAAAATTTCACCTGAATAATAAACTAACAAATAGGATATTAACTTCAATGCCCTCTGTGTTCTTCAAATATTTTCACCCATCCACAAATGCTGTGTACTCATCTCCAGAGTTGGGATTTTAAAATTATGTTTTAATCCTATGTAATTAGAATATAGGTGATTCTGTGCTGTGAAACTGTATTCTTTAGGAATAATTTATAAATTTCAGTTAAGAGAAGGCAGCAATTTTAGATACCTGCAAAAAGCAGGTTTGCTTAAAAAATAAAAACCTATCTTACTGTTTTCTCTATTTTCCAAGTGATTCATAGCTTCATAGTGATTCAGAAGGACATCAAATGGCGTGGCTGCTATCAGTTTGAGCACTGAACTGTAATTTGAGGAGTATGAGAAAAGTGTTGAATCATGAATATCCAGTTTCTTGTTCATAAAGGATGCTAATTTCAAACAGACATTTGCATTAACAGTTTAAAATGGTAAATTGCTTCAGAAATGTTTAGAATGGTCTTAGAGGAAAAACAAAATAAACCTTAAATTGTTTATGATGTTGTGCAAATCATGTGATTATGACAACACTCCTAAGCTGTTCCTAACGACAACTCTAATTTTTTTTCCTTATAGCATAAGAATCCTTCTCCCAAGAGATTAAAAAGCCTAAGAATCTATGAATCTCATGTGGGCATTGCTTCCCCAGAAGGAAAAGTAGCTTCTTACAAAAACTTCACATACAATGTACTACCTAGAATAAAGGACCTTGGTAAGTAATACCAGAAATACTTGCAGAGTTAATTTTTATGTGCCTGTGCTTGTTAGAAAAGATAACTGTCAAGTATCTAGAGGTATTTTTTGCATTTCCCAGTTACACATACTATGAAAATAGATTCTTAGGCAAGCAGAAATTATAAACAAGTGAAATCTATGGAGAATAAAGAAAGACTGAAAAAGGATATGTGAATCAAAGTCCATTCCAGATTTTTAAGTAAAATATGATTGTTAAAGGCCAGATAAGTATTACAAGGTAATTGGCTTTTGGTATGATTTACTTTCAGCATGATAAAGGACCTGTTTTTGTGACAGTCTTCAGAAAATACTTCATTCTTAATTGGTTCTACTAGTGTAAAGCTTAGTTCTAAGGAAAGACAAAAGAATTACCTGGATATTTCTTCTTTGTTTTGCCAGAATAGGCATGCTAGACTTCTTTTATACCTGAACAGTAATTCTGAAGTATCAGAACAAAGAAACTTTAAATATGAAAGACCTTCCTCAGGAAAAGAACTTCTAGTATATAAGAGAGGATGTTTGAAACAGCTGGTACCCTTATCTTAGGAAGCAAAGCAAGACTGTTCACTTCAATTTCACTTTAATTATTTCTTCCCATGGTGTCTTTGCACTGTTTTTGTAATGGACAATGTTAGAACTTACTGCCTCTACTGCCTTGTGATGAGGTATATATTTTACATTGCTGTAAAATAATCATGACTTCTGTAGCTGAAGCCTCTGTGGATGGTGGCTGTGTTTGTGTTTGATTTTTTTTTTTTTAAATTTTATTTTATTTATCAGAGTGCCTAAAGAAGAAATTTTCTTGTAGCTTTACATGTTAAGTCAGTGTTTCATGGCTTTTTCCTTTTGGTAGTTGAGCTTGCAGGTGAGATGAGGGAGTTTGCACATCTGGAAGTCCTTAATAAAAATCCAATTTTGGATTTTACATTATATATCTGTGACTCCTTACTGATTAGGAATTTCACTTGTCTGAGGAAGTTAATAGGATTTACAAAGTTAGAAAAGCATTCTGCTCTGCCTACAATTTTTTTCTTTGTGGAGAAATGTCATGAAAAGGCTGATACACCAAATAATAAAAGCAGTATCAAATTTGGGGTATATAAAATTATAACTAATGTTCCATCTTGTTTACATTAAGTGAATGTAATGGGAATTAAGTTTTTTTTAAAAAAATAATATATTTTTAAGGTCCGCTAGATTCAGTTTTGGAGTGTCCTTTTAGGACAAGCTTAGACATCACTGTATGAGAACTCTAATATATTGCTAGTTAGTAGAAATATGTGCATGACAAATAGCAAAATAAGTAGCAAGCAAATTGAATGAGATTAATTTGATGCAATGTAGCTGTTTATTTATAAAAATGCTGTAAATAAAAATAAGTGCAACAAGCCTGAAATATAAACCAGCAATGAATCTGACAAATTGCTGAGCTCACACCACTGTCTTCTAATAATAGCTCTGGTTTTAAACGCCACAGCTATAAAAAACAGGAAGAATAAAAAATTCCACAGCATCTTGTTGAAACTAAGAAATGAAATGAAGGTTTTCTTCATGCAGAGAAGTGATGGTGGTACTTGGAATAAAAGCACATTACAGTTGTGTTTTCTCTTTTTGGAAGGCTTTTGTATTTTGGAAGAAATAATTATTGAAGTTGGAAAAAAGTGATTTTGATGGGATAAAAAGAAGATGTCATATGGCATGAAGTTATAGTATTGTCTCTAAGGTGGAGAGATGTGGGTCTGATAGATGGGCCACTTGGTGAATAAGGAATTAGCAGGATGGTCACACTTAAGAGTTTCAGTCAATGGCTTGATGTCCAAGTGGACACCAGGGGTGGGGTGGCCTCAGATTGAAGGAGAGTGTATTTAGGTTGGACTTTAGGAAGAAATTCTTTACTGTGAGGGTGGTGAGACACTGGAATAGGTTACTCAGAGAAGTTACAGATGTCCCATCCCTGGAAAAGGGGTGTTGAGCAACCTGGTCTAGTAGAAAGTGTTCTTGCCCATGGCAGAGGAGTGGGAACTAGAGGATCTTCCAACCCAAACTAGCCTGTAATTTTGTCATAGTATGTGTAGCCAGTGCCCTAGACCCCCTGACTGCAAGTGTATAAAGCTGAAGCAGTTCAGGACATGCAGGTTAGCATAACTAATATTCTGAAGCTAAATAAGGATTACACTTATTTCTGTCTACATCTGGGAGATTCAATATGTGTAGATCACTTGACAAATTGACTGTTTCATTTGTGATGGAGATCTCATAAGTATAAACTATTAGCTAGAACTGCTTTGTGAAAGTTACTGAATCTTTAGGTATTAACCATTAGGGTGAGAGGCAGCTAAAATAAGAGAAGACTGGAATGGATATGTTACAGGTATTGAATACTCTTTTAACTATCTTTAAGGCATTTGTTTGTTATATTTGTTTTTATTATAGGCTATAACTGTGTCCAGCTGATGGCTATTATGGAGCATGCATACTATGCCAGTTTTGGTTATCAGGTCACAAGTTTCTTTGCAGCATCAAGGTAGGTTTAAGTACTCCAGCATCTTCTCTGTTCTTTTCCCTTCCTTCCCATCCATTGAAATCAGTATTGCTTGCAGGTGTGTTTGCAAGAAAATGTATAAGGGGAAGCAATGGCTTAGGTGTTTGCTCTACCTTCCTCTTAAATGTGAAATCAATTTGGCACAGTGATCAGCTGCTCTGTGATACACTTTGGATAGGATACAGACAAAGAGTTTATAAGTAACTTCAGCTGCCATAGCATATTCCAGGTAATCCACCTCCAGCAGTCCTTATGCATGGGTTTGGGGTTGTGGAATTCTTGGCAGTAACAAACAGGATGTGTAGGGCTTTCTTTTATGACAAACTGTACACTGTTCGTAGTGAACTTGATCAAAATCATGGGTTTGTGTGTTCTGTGGGAACACTTTTCCTTAAAAGCTTGTACCAGAATAAGATTTGAGGCATAGGGTGAAATTACATGAGAAATTAATTCAGGTAGCTGTTAAGAAAATTATGATAAACGTGGAAGTCATAATTTTATTTTTTTTTTTTAAATTTTTAATCTTAGAGCAGCTCAAGTGACAACCTGGCTGAATTTGAATAGGAAGTTTTTAACTGGCTTAATTCATTGAAAAAAGATGTGTTGTGCACAAAAGACAAAAATCCTTATTTTAAAAAAGAACATGGCGGTACCTAAACCAAATAACTAAGCAGGGAAACAGCAGATGATGTATTTTTTGGACTTTGTGGATGTACATTTACTTCTGTAATCATTGTGTTACTTTATTCCAGCAATATGAATGAATTCTTGTCCTTTTTGAACTAAGGAAGTGTTTGATATTAAATAGCAGCTTTAGGTTGTATCTGTTATCTTTTATACTAAATTTTATGTATCATTAAAAAGGGAAGAAGAAAACTGAATCTACATCTGTGAAGTGCTGTGTGGATGATGGCATTCTTACAATGAAAAAATGGTCTGAAATGTTAGTTTGTAAGCAATAGGCTTAATAGGTTGAAAAAAATAACCTGTGTACATCTGTAAAGCAGATGATGAAGAACTGCTGACTTTCATGTAGTTTCCATGCTGAATGTTCAGTATTGCCAGCAGAAGTCCTGATTGTGCCTCGTTGCATTTTCACAGCCGGTACGGAACTCCTGATGACCTGAAGGAAATGATCGATGTTGCTCACTCAATGGGCATCACAGTCCTGCTTGATGTGGTGCACAGCCACGCCTCAAAAAACTCAGAAGATGGTCTCAACCAGTTTGATGGTACAGATTCTTGTTTCTTCCATTCTGGATATAGAGGCAATCACCAGCTCTGGGACAGCAGGCTCTTTGATTATGCAAAGTGAGTATAAAACATCACTTCAGCTGTGCTAATAGTTATTATTTCACAGCAATTCTGTTTAAACTATACTCCTCACCAAACTGGTAAAGTCCTTTGGATTGTTTAACAGTTGCAGTTTGTGGAGTTCAATTCCTCTACTTGCCTGAGTGCTTCAAAGCTAGCACTAAATGGTAGTATTTCAATTTTGTTATTTTCCTGTCATCTATTGCTACCTGTGTGCATGTTATATACCATGTACATTGTATGTATTATATAATGGTGCAGTTATTTATATATAAAAATATATTTCCATATAAATATATGTTATATAGGAATATATAATGTATTTTATTCATTATAGAATATATTAATATTTTCCTGCTATGTATATAACACGTTGCATATATACAATAGATTATGATGTTATATAAAAATAAAATAATAAGAAAAGCTGATGAAAACTTGTAAGCTCTGTAAATTTATTGACAAACTGTCAGGTTGTTGAAATGTAGGAAATGTTTCCCCCCAGGACAACTAACTCCATTTCAAAGAGCTTCAGGAGGTCAATCAACAGTTAATACAGAGCAGAGGTCATTTTCAGTAGACAGTTCTGGAGACCCAGTTTGGGCAAGCTCAGTTAACCAGTATAAATATAGTGCATATCAAAACACTTATTAATTCCAGATGATTATTAGTATTTAACACAGTATTCTCTGTATTAGTATTTAGCACAGTTCACTCTGTATTCTTTGACGTATTGGGAGCAAGGAGATTGATCTTGTACGTTGGATGTTTCAGTGGTTTAAATGGAGAAACAGGCATCATCAGCCAGTTTATTTCAGTCTCTTTTTCACATTTTTTTTCTGTTTGTTCATCTCTGAACCACCTTGGTTCTTCCCTTTCCTTTCCTTTGTTTCCCTAAACATTCCACAATAAGTTTTGTGTAACTTCACAATCTCCTTAAAGCATGTCATAATAAAATTCTATATAGAATTGATCACTTTTTCCAGGATAAATTCTCTTATTTCTCCCCTTGAAATGCATAATTTTATGTGACCTTCTTATCAATTACAAAGTTCTGTTTTAACCCTTTCAAGGTTACATTTGAATGTTCTTGTGGTGGCTCATTACAGAGCAACTGCAGAGTTCTGGTCTCTTGTTAACCCCTAAGTTATTAGGGTTTTTGTGCTGCAGGTTCAGTTTCCTGTTTTTCCCATTTTTCTCCCTTGCTTGCATTGAACTGCCATGGACTGGATAGATATGATTGTGTTGCACTATTACAAAAGCCACATTACATATCATAGGCCAACTGTTTAATGGAACTCACAATGTCAAATAAACCAAGTGACCAGTGTGAAAACTGATTTGTGCACTTCAGTACTTAGTAGAAGGAGCTATTCTTTATTTACTTGCTATTTGGGACAATTTTACAGGTTATTTCAGGGGGAGTTTTTGAATTGTAATTTTATTATTATAATAAATGCATTTTAGTCCTTCCTATTAAGTTTTAAATTCATGTTTTAAGACTGAAAAGATAGATATAACCTTCGTGGTCCTTGTAACTTTCACAGAACTGATTAAAAAATAGCTTGCACTTTTCCCCCTACTCTTTGTGTGTGCAGTTTCCAAAAAAAAAATTGTGAAAGAATCAAACTGACATTTCATTGAAAATGTTTGGTTTGGTGGTTGTTTTTTTATCCCCATTTAGTCTGTATTGGCATTAGTCTGTATTGGCTAATTTCCATACCAGTGCATGAGCAGCTCTAGTCTGGATGAGGCAAATATAAAAATATGTGAGAGAGACTCAAGTTGCTGGCAGATGTTGAAAGTTTGCTCCAAATAAATGACAGCAAACACAGTCTGTTGAATGGTCTACAGAAAAGCTTGCTTGCTGAGTGAAATTTCTTCAGCTAGCAGAGCCTTCTATCCTGTACAGAGCTTGTACTAAATCCCTTTCCTTCTGTAGTGGGAAGTTAAATCTGCAGGTACTTAAACATCAAATGCAAAGAATGCTCAATTCACTATGGAATTGAGAGAAACTAATTCTCAACCGTGAAAGAGATTAAGGAACAGTTGCTTTATCAGTTTAGTCTGTCTACATTTTCTTTGAAAGCCAAGATGTAAGTTTATCTCACAGCATTTGCAAGATTATTCAGTTGTCTGTGAAAGGGACTGTGAATACTTGCTGTAGCAGAATGTGGCAAAAGATCTATATCCATGCTAAAAAAAGAAAGGATTATATCCCTTGTGTACTTAAGTACTATTTTTTAGTAAAATTCATGTAAGTAGAGAGAAGCTTCAAGAAAAGCAATAATAGTAAACCTGTTCAATGGACAGCCTGGGTATTGCATCTTTGCACCACAGTGCTGCATAAAAAGATAAAGGCATATTTTTAGTTTTTAAGTTTTTAATCCATATTTATGCAAGTGTTGTATGAAGAGGGAGCTTTTCTGTAAATTGTGAACAGCATTTTAAAATTATGCTGTTCATGGTGTTGTCATAGGAGAATACAAACTCAATTTCATTGAAATAAGAACCTGCAGGTAAGATAATTGGCCAATAGAATACTTTTTGCTTAACTTTTTTTCATTAAAGCATATAAACCATGCTTTAAAAACCTACCAAGAATAAACATTCACTTTATTAATTTTCATAGCTCTTGCACATCCTTATGAGTTTTTCTAAAATCCAGATACTGGGCATTTTTTTCCTCAAATATGCTAATTTGGTGACTCTTCGTCTCCCTCATCTCCATCCTGTCTGGCTATATCTGTGTCCATCCTGTTTCCCTCAGCAACCAACCCTAAAACCAGAATCATGGTGCTTCAGTGAGGATAGAAGTTGATTTTAATATTTTCTGTTGAAAAACAAACTTTTATATAATTTGCTTTGGTTCCTGTTTAATACTGTGACTTTGCTAGCCCTGAATTCACGACAGGGAAAATACTTTAGTGTAAATGGGGTGCCAGAAGCTCTGCATTGGTACTCTACTTGGCACTGTATAGTTAATTTTGGAGGAAATTAATGGCCTCTGTTGTGTTCCTGTTAAGGGTAGCTCTCTTGGAATACATGTAAACATCCTCCCATCTTTAGTAAGGATTCTACTTGTAATTAATTTTGCACAAGCAAAATATATATATTTTTTTCTTCTTAGAATCATATTCAAAGGTTATTCAGCTCTCAGGTTCATTAGAAGTGATATTGTACACCCTGGAGACCAGGTGGGATCACAACTAGGGTGGTTGATTGTGTTTTAATTTAAATTCATTTCTCCAAATAGCAAGTATGTCTAAAATACTAATCAGGCAAAATAATCTAAAAATAATGGAGAATGAGATATTACCTAGTAAAGATTTTCCCCACAGCACTACATAAATAAATGTGTTAATGTTGCCCTTCTAGACTTGTGGAGGTCTGAGAATATTGTTTTGGCTTTTAAGGCTTTTCCTGTTCTTTCATTAGACTTTGTTGGATTCTATTCTCTCTTAATCCAATTCTGAATGTCAATAGGTTTACTGATATATTTCTGTGAGCCTTTAGGAATAATGGTGGAATTAAAATTCAGAAATCATGTGATGCCTTAAGAGTTTTTTTGGTTTGTGATTTGTTTGTTTGTTTTTTTCTTTTTTGGGGAGGGAGGGGTTAATTTGTTTTGTTTTGTTTTGTAAATGCTATTATGACCCTTCTCACCTAAGTGTTTTGGCAAAATTTTGAGTTATTTCACAGTTTAGAAGATGAATTTGGTACAAAAGTCAGAGATTGATTTACAATGAAGTTTTAACTTTAATTACTCCAGCTTCCTTGAATGCAGCAGTATGATCAGTAAGAGATGATATTGGTTACAAGGATTTGGGGCCAGCAGATGTCCCAGCATCTCCTTTGGGGCTTTTTTGAGGCCTGATTTCAAGGCTTTTTTAAGACTAGATGTTCTGTCCATATTTTTGGGGTTAAAAATCATAACTAAGCCATGTAATGGGAGACATCTCTTATTAAGGTTTTTTTTCATCAGTTTTATGAAGTTTATGACATCCATGCCAAATGTGCTTTGAAATGCTACAGGTAGGGTTTAGTATGTATAAACACTTTGTCCCATGAGCCACAGCTTTTACATCAGGGCAACAGATGACTTGCTAGTCCCCTGCTGCCAGTCCACATGTTCTCTCCAGCTCAGTCTTCTGAACTGCTGGTGGGACAGCTGATTATAGCTCAGCACTTTTGATGTGGCTTTTGTTGTTTTGTTTTTTTAAATTCAATTATTCTTAAGGTGTGTTACAAACTGCCATAGCTCAGAAACTGCTTTTAACCTTGCTGTCAGTGCTGCAGAAACAGGGCAGCTGTCAGCTGTTGAAGCTTGTGTCTTTGTTCTGGTGTAGGTGGCCTTTCCCCAGCTTGCCCCTCCAGAGTGGGGTGGGTCACCTGAAGCTTTTTTCCCTTGTCCTGTGGTCCAGCCTCAGGCAGGTATCTCGGTACTCTCTTGCATCTAAAACATCCACCTGTGTTTGGATGCCAGACAGTGGCCTTTTCTGCCACCCAGTGTTTAAATCCTGCATAAACCTTGTGCTGTATTTTCTGGGGAAAAAAGGTTCCCCTGATTTTTCTTGACTTTAGGATCTGACTCTTTAAAGACATGTTTATCTTCTAACATCTTCAGCATCCTCTTAAGCTCGCTGTTTAGTTCTTCCTTAAACAGCTGTTCTTCTCCCAAATTGTTTTTCTTTCTTCTGATTGCCTACTTTGCCAGTCTTTATCTGCCACTGAGGTGATGATAGTGTGTGGAATGAACTGGAACATAAATCTTTCAGAATTTAGTGTTTGGTTAGTAGGGGTACTTGCCTGGGCTCGTAATTCTTGAAACATAGCTGTTCAGAATGTTTTTTGTTTTGTTTCCCTTCAATTCAGTGATGATTTCTAAATATCAGTGGAGGTAGAGATTTGTTGCCTTCTTTGGGGAGCATCCCCATGATTTGTACAGTTTTCAGGATGGTATGGATTCGCTGCTACTCTTTAATGCTTACACATTA